ACGCCATCTCTTCTTCATTCATCATCTCAGTCACTTATATTAGTGTAGTTGTTGCTCTGTTTTTGCTGTGCGCCTGTCTGTCTGTCGTCTGTCTCTCTCTCTCTTTCTTCCTCTCTCATCCCCCAACTGTCAAGCAGGACGACCACCACCTGAAGCGAGGTAGTTTTCTTTGCCCTTGTCTTTTTGCACGCCGGGTGCTTGCTCATTGGTAGTACTCGTTGGTTCTCTGTAAATGGTATAAGGTTTCAGGGTCTAGATCCTGCTTCTAATTGAAGTGTCCTGAGGCATAACCTTCTTTATGAATTGGCGCTATACAAATAAAATTGAATTGAATATATTCCATTTCATGTTAGTTACTTTTTTACTACTCCACTACATTTATTTAATAAATTAAGTTACTACTTTACAGATTCCGATTAGTTATGTAAAATATTATCAACAAATACAATATGATTTGTTATTATAGATTCATTGACCAAGCAGAATACAAATTAAATCACGATAGTTTTTGATATTTTCTTACATCCCTTGCTAATACTTTTGTAAAATTTGAATGCATTACTTTTACTTGTGTAATTACTGTGGTATTGCTACTTTTACTTAAGTAAATGAGTACTTCTTCCACCACTGCACATGGCTGTTGATTATGACTGCTGCTGAAAGATGTCTGTTAATAGACATAAAGAGGGTTGGCCCCTCTTTATGTCTATTTCACAAATAAAAGTTTCACAAATAAATGCCTGATTTTGTGCCCTCAATTTGTCCTTGGTGTGGGTCTACACTTAGAAAGTACATGATCATGGGTGAAATATGATTAATAAATCATAAGTAGACTAATGTATAGCCTGTGGAATGAATTTGTGGATTCATAAGATTAAGGTACACATATTTAGCATTAACTACTTGCTTATTAGCATGCATTTTACTAGCATATTGACTCTTTATTTGTCATTTAAAAGCATGTATTAATGCCTTATAAGGTGGTAGTAGCACTAGAATACTCATTCTCCCTTTATAAACTTAATAAATATGGTTTATTTTTAGAAAATAAAACACAGTGTCAATAGTGTCCAAATATCTCTGAATGAAGCTTTTCTAACGCTAACATGTTCCCTATTCTAATGTGAGTGCTTGCTCATAAATAGGCAAGACCTTAAATTTAAAGAACATTTCCACACATGTATTAATACGTATATACAAATAGTCTGCTTGGAACAATAATGTGTGTCTGATATGTTTTTCCCACAAAAAAGTATAACTTCCACATTACAATCCTTAAAAAGTCATCTACTCCTTCTACCTATTCTATTCCAGAATCTCTGAATATGCAAATGTCGTTCATTTCTAAAGTTTTCCTGCTGGACACAAGATGTCTCCTATTTCACTGTAAAGTCCATTCTCAGTGGATGTACTGGTGGCTTCATGTTTCTACATCACACTGTACAAGTCAAGACTAGGACTGACTTCATGCTGTTAGCCCCGCCCCTTAAAATTTGATTTTCAATGAGCACAGAGAAACTTTCTAGTTTCAGCAGATGAATGTGAAAACATCCTTCTAGTGTCAAACACAGCCATCATTCAAACTGCACACTGTAGGAACAAGAAGAACTTTAAACTGTGATAATTTAAAAAAAAGTATTTTAATTTAGTTTAAAAACAAGTGTATAGTCTCGTGACTTTAGCCCATACTGAGCAAAGCATATTAGTTATGAGCAACAGCTCACTTTAGAATGGGAAATCTGAATTAGAAATTAATTTACTATGAACTATGAACACTTGTAGTTTTGTTACATAAGAATAGACCACATTTATTAAGTGTTATTAAGAGAGAATGAGCATTCTTACAAAGCACATACTGAGCAAAGAATATTAAGATTCCTGTATAACAGCTTCCTTGCTTACTATCAATAAGCAATAAATAGGAGTTTACTGAAAGAAAACTTTTAGGCTGCAGTGACCCAAATCTGATATTTTTGCTCATATGTTATACAGATCAGATTTTTTTCATGACACTGCGAACAGCACATGGAATCTGATCTTTTTGATTCTGATTTGGGCCACTTTCATATGTGGTCCAAATTAGATACAAGTCTGATTCTTTGCAATTAGATCAGTCATATCAGAATTCATGTGACATTTATGTCACTCTAGATTGACATTCATCATGTGAGTCACTTCAGGACCTGTGACACTGAAATCTGATATGGGCCACATAACCAAAAAAATTTGATCTGAGCAATATTATCAGAATTGAGCAGTAAGGCTTACAGTGTGAATGTAGCCTTACAATAGTGGCCATCATTTATCTGACACTTCACAATGTTAGATGGCTTTTGTGGTGCACTCGGCTCACCACAGTTGATTGTGGCCTCAGCAGAGTGAAGTTGCAGTCTCCGGCAAACTGATTACAGTTTTAATTTAGCCAGAGCCCATAAATAACAGTTCAAATCAGTAGAATTTATTTCATTTTACAGAAAATGCATCTTCTCACCTATTAGCAAGAGTATAAGAGTTTGTTGAACGTACAATTACAAATAATCAACCACGACAAAAAATAAACATGATCATTAATAACAGGCTGTATTAATGTAGATGTGACAGTCTGCACAATTTCTCAATGCCAAAAGTTGGCTGCAAGTGGTGTGAACAGCTCTAAACCGACATGGGAGCAGAAATGAAAAAGCAGCGTTTCTCTGTTCCCCCTCTGTGTCTGCTAACAGACACAGATTATCCAACAGCAGTTGAGTTGCAAACAAAAAACACACTCAGGTTTGTGTAATCTGAGTGAGGGGCTAAAATGCAATTCAAACTTACTAGGGCAACATTGAGTATTTCCTGGATGATTTGTAATTTTAATCAATTTCTAGATTTCAAAGGGCATGTGAAAATCCTGAAAATAAGGCATTAATAAGTTATTTATAATGATTAGAATTGTTCATGCCTAATTTTAGCATTTGAGTAATCCACTGCTCAGACTTCTTTGTCTATCCTCTGAGATCACTGGGTAAGGTCATTACAGATGTTGCACAGAACGGCTGGGGTTATAATAGTGACACGTTCGCTCCCTTTTGTCTTTCCCAGCGAGGCAACATATGACATCGGGACTAAATTTGGATCACAAGTGTGAAAATGGGTGGTAAGATTACCGCAGCGTGAGCTGGATGCGCGACGGGGGGCGCGGGGAGTTCACCGTCGGTTCAGCCGCCCGACAGGTCAACTGCACGGAGGGGATCGACCCCGACCGCAGCGGGCCCGCAGCACGTTCTATTTAGTCAGGATTGCCTTCATTGTGTCCCGTATTACATGGCCCCCCCCCCGATCCGACTGCCAGTAATTTCTACAGCTGCAGATATTATGCAATATTTGCAAGTGTGGCAATAACAATACGTGCCTGTTTGTTCTTATTTGTGTACAAGTAAACAGATCTCTTGCTGAATATGTGTGTGTGTTGGGTGATTAACGCTATGTGTAACAGGCTGTATGAGACAATGTGGGCATTCACTGTTACATGACATCATTGCGTTGCTTACTCATGACAGTGGCGGCTGGAGCGTGGGCTCTATACGCCCTGAAAAGTGAGCAGTTGTAATGGGAGGATAAAGTACATAAAGCACAGCGTAGGAAACGTGCCTCGTTGACGTTATTTGGATTAATAACTTTACTTCATTAAAGTCACACACCCACAGCGGCCATAAGGCTTCATAACGCTCCTGCCAGCAGCCACATCAAATTCTGTTACAACACTGTGTCGCAATCCGTAACGTTAAACTCCTGCTACTGCTAGGCCTCCGTCCCCCAATAAAACACACTGTATGTCTCTAATACCGGCCAATGTTGGCATTTTATCTGCTAATGCTACTAACCGAGCCGGTACACGTTAACTCGAACTTGGAGCATGGTTAACTTACACTTTTAATGGGAGTCCTAACATGGCTAATGTAAGTTTAGAATGATTCTACAGACATGAGACGCTAGTAACAGGACAGAAATGTAAGCTAGCTGTGATTCTGTAAACACACACCATCCCGCACAGATCTGTGTGACAGCAGGAGTAACAATAACCTCAAAGCACGACTGTACCTTTTCTAGCACCTGGTCGGAGGGGTCGCTCTGCTTTTCCACCGCCTGTCAGCCACAGAGAACAAGTTTAGCTTTCCCATCAGCTAATAAGGAAATAACTTGACAAAATCCTACAAGTTGCGAAGTACCAAGCTCTTCTCCCACGGCTTTTTTCCTCTCAAGGTGGCTACTGACTCATGGATCTGTGTTAGTAGGTCAGTGGTTAAGTGTATTGGCAGCGTGACATTAAACGACAGCCGCTGCAGCCAATCGGAAGGCAGCTTTTTCCAACTGTAGCCAATGACTCGTGGCCTCAGCACAGAGCTCAAATCTCAGTGTGTCGTCATCGACAGAGCGTGCGGGGTATTTAGGCGCGTCAGTTCACTACACTACGTGTATGGTCATGATTTTATAACCAAATAACGCAGACATATTTGTATTATATGTTCGTACTAATTCATAAATGAGCACCTTTCAAAGGATAATGCTTCAGAATGGGACTTATTTAACCTCTATATAAATGATATAGTATACTATACAATTAATATATATATATATATATACAGTACAGGCTGAGTCAATTGTTGTTATTTTACAACAGAGTGTTGTATAATGAGCAATGATGGGCTAGTTTCTCAAAAAATGTAATTATTTATCAAAAGTAACATGATTACTTTACTCATTACTCCCTGTCAACAGTAATTAGTTACACTACTATTACTTTTCTTCTACTCCCCACAAAATATGTAATCATGTCTCTTCTCCCCAAAATCTGAAATAAAACGTTTACATCTGTGTTTAATAATGTTATAAAGTGAGGCAGTGTGAGAAATATAAAACAAGCGCAAGTGGGAAAAATAGGAATTTTTCTTACCAATAAAGAAAGTGAGCTCAATACACGAAAAAAAAAAGAAAACAAGAATTTATAAAAGTGACAAAATGCATAAAGTAATAACTAATATGTTCTATTTCTACATTTCTCTGTGCAGCCCTGTGTTTTAAAATGACACTTACATGGTAAATGGTTATTGGGCTGTACTTGTATAGCACCTTTTAGTCCGACTGACTCAAAACGCTTTTACACTACAAGCCACATTATCCCATTCATACAGTAAATGGCAAAGGCCATCATACACAGTGACAGTTACACTGACCCTGACACCTTGATTCATCTGCATCCTTTTCTAAATATACTTTCTGTGCATGTGTGCAACCAACATGGGGTGATCCAAGCGGCTGGGAGAACTGTTATGTTGCTATGTTGTATCACTTAATGTGCACATATAGCCTAACACCTCTAGGGGTCACTGTTGGATAGTTAGTGTAAATTGGAATGTTGCTTGTACTTGGAGGTCCAGAGTTAAGATGGCTGCTGCATACCGGAGTGTCGGCTCAAATATGAGTTCCTGAGAAATTCAAACGCCTGTTTGAATGTGAGCACCATTTGTAAAGCCATCCATTCTATTACTCCTTACTGTTCCACATTACACGCTAACATAGGTAGCAAAACAAGTCATCATTATATAAGACCACATAGAAGAATTAATATAACCCTGTTAGTCATCATTTCCCCTTTAGATGGCTTTACATTTAGAAAAAACAAATAAAACCACGACAGCAAACAAACAAAATCATAAAAAGAATTGCCAGTGCAATTATTTCTTATTCCATCCAGAACATTTATGTATCCTTTAAATTAAAGTTTATTGTCTGGTACAGTTTCTACCATTTGCAATTCCTTTATTGA